GGAAGATTACCATCAATGAAATCCAGTTTTAGCTTACCACCAAGAGCTTTCTTCATGGATCGTGCCCAAGAATGGTAGTTAGATCCGGTAAGCTTCGGAGAAACGGTGACTGAGCTAGGACCATCACTGGGATGAACAAAGTACAACGAATTAGGATCAAAAAGTGGATTAGGTGGCTGAACCTGTGACGGTGCCATGATCGAAAATTAAGTAAATTCAGAGATTGGATAGCGGAAGTTGAATCGAAAATGCGAATGATACCATGCTGAGAAATATCAAAGAAGCTCTATTTGTTCAAGAACAAGAAGAATGAAAACATGAAAAAGAGAGAGAATTGAAATTGAAGCTTCATTAGAGTGAATTAGCTTGATTACAAAAGGAGAGAAAAAAGCAAATATATATACAAATTTGAATAGCACAATTGGCGGGAAAAATGAAACTAAAATTAAAAACTCGATTAGCTCACTAAAACTCAATTAGTTTTCTAATCTTAAAAGACTATTCTTTTAACAATATTTATATCATATTTGAGAGGATAAGTCTAAAACGGTCCCTACAATACAATAAAGTATTAATAGAGTGTAATTGAATTGTTTAATCTCAAATACTTTCTAATAGTAATTTGTTTATACCATCTTCATTAGTGCTGCAAAACGTTCTAAAAAAAATCTAGTAGTGTAGTTTGTGACTTAATCTCTAATTTGTATGGTGGCAACTTCTAAATTGAAAAAAAAATTAATACAAAAGCAACATTTTATTCTTATACACATTAATGGTCTCATATATACACTTGTACCTTCTGGCTTTCTGACCTTGATCAGGGCTGAGAATTGTACTTTTAGCACATTTCGATTAATCAAACTTATATCAACTTAAAGTTAGGTTTAAATCTACACACTATTTAATCCCATCACATGAAAACATCTAAACACATTATATGTTTGGTATATGAATTCTTTGTTTTGAAAGATAGAATCTTTAAATGATGTCGACTTTATACTACATTTGAATAAATATTTTATCTTAGGATTGTGATATTGCAGCAATATTCCTAACATTAACTAGAGATTTGTAGAAATTTATTTTTTCTTGTTTTGGCCAAAACAAAAAAGAAAAGACAAGCAAGAGAGTGGGTTGTAATCTGTTCAAGCAAGCACTGAAGACCAACTATATCCACACAATTTTACATAAATTTAATTGGTTTGAATTTGTATTTGGTTTTGCAAAATCTAAATGATTTTGCAAATATAATATTTTGTTTTAATTATTGTAAAATATATATTTAATTTCATTCTAAAATTTTTTATTTTATTTTGTTTTTACACACTTTTCTATTTTAATTTATAAAAAAATAGTTTATATTATAATTTTATTTGAAACTCATTATCCCTCCCAAGACCGAATAATTGAATGAGATAAATATCATCATTCAATTGTGCGAGTTTTATTTAAAATCAGGGTAAAATTTTGCATGAATCGATCAAATACATAAATGATTATATCATAAAAATAAGCATATTTTTAAGTGGTATAAGTCTTCAAAAACAAATCAACATTTCAAAAAATAAAAATTTAAAATCAAGTTTTAGGTTAATTCAAAGTCGTCTCCAGTTTTTGAAAGATTTGTATAGATTTTACTATAGATTAACTTTGGAAAAAAAATATGAATTATATTTTATTATAGTTTAATGATTTTTTTTAAGGTTTGATATGTGGTCTTGCAACTGATTAATACTTTCTCTGATTTTATGTATAAGAAAAAGTTAGTAATTTTTTAAATTGATTGAATAATCAATTTATACGATCTATTATACAATTCAAATATATTTATTATTCAATAAACTTTAAAAAAAAACTATTTTTCTTTTATAAATAAGGCCCAAGAGAATATTTAATACTAACAAATATTTTGTATCCTTAAAAAAATTAGAGATATGCCCGACTTTATATTATAATTAATTCAAGTATTATATGTTAAAGATTTAATAAAATTACCATTGTTTTTATTTCATTTATCAGATATTTTTTATTAATATTTATTAAATATAAAATCTCATAGTAATTATGAGAAGGTGAAAATAAAACCTATGTTAATTAATTACTAACATTGAAAAAGAGTAGAATTAGTTGATTAATTAATATGGCAAGTAAAGAGGTGTGCTATATATGCGGCTCCACAACATTTGAGAGAATAAACATCAAAGTCATACAACTAGTTAGGTGAGCAACTTTAAAGACTATGATAAAAATTAATTGATCATTTAATGAATGTTAGGTATATTAATGAATTGGTCTAGTAAATAGCTTTAATTAGTTCAATCCATTAAAAATATCATTTTGACAAAGTGTAGGTGAATGCTCTTTTCAAACATTTAAAGGACACAACAATATTTTTGTACATCACTTTCCTTTAAAAATATTTATCTACCACCATGTGAATTTTTCACAACTTCTTATGGTAGAACATGAAAAATGGCTTAAATTTTAAAACACATGCAAAATCATGAAATCAAATTTGGATGATTTGTGCATGTCACAATCTTGGATTAATAGTGTTCATAATGAGTTTCCACTTTTATTAATGTTGGGGGATTATAAATGGTTATCACTTGTAGCACAACTTGTTGGCTTTATAACAAATTGGGATACCCTATTTATGGGCATTTAATTTTTGTAACCTGATTTTGTTTAATTTTTCCATCAAGTGTGTCTCAATAATAAATTATTAATAGACAGAATAGTAGTTGAATCATCAATGTGAGTTCATGCTTAAAAAGAGGGTGATTAATATTTCAATTTAAAAATTAATTATTTAGAAATAAAAAAGGTAGGTACTGTTTTTTTTAATGAACAACAAAAAGTGGAGTATTAATTAAAATTATATTAAAAATCATTCACAGTACTAATTCCATGGGAAGAAAAATCATTAATAGAGAGCTTAAGATATTCTATGAATCTAGTCATTTAATATTATATATACTTTTAATTATACTAGATTGACTGCTTGACTACTCTACTCTAATTACTCTATTTTAATGGGGATAAATTTATTTATTTATTTTTAAGAAAAAGGACAAAGGTTGTTAGATATATTGAAAAAGTAAAGATAATAACAAAAAAGAAGGTAGAAAGGGGAAATAATTTAAAAAAAAACTTTAAATATTAACAAAATTCTAAAGATATGAACTCATATAATATTTCTCTGAGGTACATTTAGTTTGCATGATAGAATAAAGAGTTGCAATGAGACATGATATAATAGACATTTATTTGATCATGTGTTTGATGCATGTCAAATAAAAAATTGCATAATATTATTTTATCCTTGAACGTATTTGATAGTGCCAAGAATAATATGTATATCTTCCTATAATTACAAATTAATTAGAATAAAATTAAAATTATAATCAAATTGAATTTGTCATGCACTTAAGTAGTATTAAAATAAGTAAATAATTATAAAAAAATATATCTTCAAAATTAAAAGTGTTTCGAATTTAAATTGTCAAATACAAAAGTGACAACAAAACAACGGAAAAGTAATAAGATAATGTCAAACAAAATCATTATAAAATATCGAAATAATTATTTCAATGACTTAATAAATGCAAGATGATGATCATATATCAGAGCATTACCAGTCTAACAATCACTACGCCAAAATTGGTTTTTTGTATCGCCTACTTTAATAGCGCTTTTTAAATAAGCGCTATTAAAAAGGAAACAAACATATTTATAATAGCGCTTTATAGTAAAGCGCTATTAAAGAGTACAGAGAATATGACTTTGACAGCACTTTGTAAAAAAGCGCTATTATAGATATTCACTAAGATAGCGCTTTTCTAAAAAGCGCTATTAAAATGTTGTATTACAATAGCACTTTTATAAAAACGCTATTATTAAAAGCACTACGATAGCGCTTTTTAAAAATCGCTATTAAAATATGTAACTACAATAGCACTTTCTATGAAACCGCTATCATTTCTATAATTGTGTTTTAAGATAGCGTTTTTTTAAAAAGCGCTATTAAAATATCCCACTAAATTAAATTAATTAAAATATGAATGAGAAGGGTTTTCCACGAAAGAGAAGGGGGATTCATATCTTCTCCTTCCTCTCTCTGTTGATCCTCAGTCCCTTTAATCCTCACCACCGCCGTCTTCCTTCTCACCATCAACCCTAACCTCTCATCATATCTCCCACCTTCAAACACTCACCATCCTCCTTACAACTCCCTCCGACGCCGACCCACGTTAATTTCTGGAAAAAAATAAATCAAAACACTAACCAAGCTCACCATCCCTCTGTTTCTTCTCAACCATCGCTGTTTTCTTCGACACCACCTTCACTCACCTTTCATCTTCCGCCGGAAAAACCTTCCCATCCAACGAAAATACCGCCGGAAAACCTCCACGTCCACCTTGCCTACCTCGTTTTCCGCCGTACCATTCCTCATCAACACCCTCCCTCTCCAATTTTCGTTCGCCGCTCTATCAATCTCCATCTGTAATACTCCCTTTATTCATCTTCATTTTCAGATCGTTATCCCTGCAAATTCCACCATAAACAACCATGGAAATGCATCATGACCACCACTCCCCATTTCAACTCCTTTGCCCCTAACCTTCTCATCTGATCCATACCTCATCTTCTTCAACCAAAACTCTATCCTAAACTCACCTCCCATTCAACGATATACACACCGTAGCAACACATGAAGGAAGCTCCAAGTTTTGAAGTAGATGCAAGCTTAGGGCTTTTGCTCAAACATGCCTATTTTGACTTACAATGATTAATGTCTTTTTAGGGTCCCGGCCTATATTATGTTGATAGTGAAGGTGGAAGACTTAAAGGCACTAGATTCTCAGTTGGATCTGGTTTGCCATATGCTTATGGTGTATTGGACAGCGGGTTAGCTAAATTTCCTATTTAATTATCATCTACTCTTCTGTCAAATCTTGTTAACAAACAGCTTCTGTCATATTAGGTACAAATATGATATGTCGGTTGAGGAAGCTTCTGAGCTGGCTCGAAGAGCAATTTATCATGCGACATTTCGTGATGGAGCTAGTGGTGGAGTTGCTAGCGGTATTTTATCTTCCTTATTCACAAGCTATATCTATCTGCTTATGACATTTTGTTGCTGTCTCGCACATAGATAATGAATTGCAAACATACTCCCATGTATTTTTAGCAGCAGAACATTGACAAGATATCTTTATATTTTTTCATGTACTCCCTTAGATGTTACTTGCTAGCATACTGCTGAGAGTTTATGTGAGTATTTTAGCCGCTGTACCCCCATTTTTAATAAGATAGAGATAAAAAAGTATTGTAGCAAGTTTCAACTCTCATACCATCCCAAAACATGATATCTATTTTTCTGTGTCCACTTGCAGATAGTTCATGGTTTCTAAACTTGTTTGTTAAGATGAAATTTTGTTCTAAACAAATTTTTACATGAAATGCTATAATTATAGTTACCTCTAACTACATGAAAAATGACTACTTCAATAGTTCGATTTACTGGTGTTGTCGTTTCAGTGTCAGGGTCGTGTTCTGAGTATCCGTGTCTCATAGCTACTGCATATATGATATGGATTTAACAACAGTTTATCTTAAGGTGCATATTCTTAAGTGAAGTAGGTTATGTTCATCTGAGAATAAGCTGAAAGTTTTCGCACTGTGTTAAGTTTTTCTAGTGTGCCAATGATTTTTGACAGAGCTTTGTACAAAACGTGCACTTTATCAATTTGAACTACTAGTTGCGATGCTCATAATGCAGTTTTCTGAGTTACATTATACCTGAACTTTGATATCTCTTATTTTTCAGGTGAGGTAATTTACGAAAAATATTCTCTAGAATATGGAACTGATTGTCTGGAAATGCACGTTGGCGCTGTCGAAACCGGTGAACGCGCTATAGTTATCGATGATTTGGTTGCAACAGGTGGAACACACTACTTATTATGTTGTGTTTTGTTGTCATGCAGTTCAATGTTCTTGGTCAATCACTTGGCTTCTTTGGATCCTGTTTGTATGCCTATTCTAAGCTCCAAGGAAAATGAAGAAGACAAGTTTCTTGCGTTGTTCGTTTCGGTTATGCTGTCATTCATTAGAGTTTTTAATGTGATGACTTTTTCTAGCCACAAGATGCTTATGGATTGGAGAAGCTTGCAACAGAAGAGTTATGCAAGCACTATAACAAAGATTTTGGAATTGAGTGTCGCATTGGGCGGTTCCATAACATATATGGCCCTTTCGGAACATGGAAAGGTATGCTCCTAACTGAATCGCAAATTTTGCATAGTATCTTATATAAATCAACAAATTAACCGTTGTTTTAATGTTCGTCGTGTGTAGGTGGAAGGGAGAAGGCTCCTGCTGCTTTTTGTGGGAAGACACTTACTTCCACAGATAAGTTTGAGATGTGGGGAGATGGATTGCAGACACGGTCCTTCACCTTTATCGACGAGTGTGTTGAAGGCGTGCTAAGGTATGATCGTGCTGATCTTGTGGCTGTTGCAGCTAAATTAATGACTTTTCCTTGGTTTTTCATTTTGAAATTTAAATCACCAATGTCGGTTCATTCGTCAGTAAAACTTAGATTTGTGTTCCTTTGTCCGTTTTTCCTTTTAGATTGACTAAATCAGACTTCCGCGAACCAGTGAATATTGGAAGTGACGAAATGGTTAGCATGAATGAGATGGCTGAGATTGTTCTTAGCTTTGAGAACAAAAGCATACCAATCCAACACATTCCTGGTCCAGAAGGTGTTCGTGGCCGCAACTCAGACAATACTCTTATCAAAGAGAAACTTGGCTGGGCTCCAACAATGAAATTGAAGGTATTAATATTGAAACACCGTTGTGTTTACTCCGTGTTGTATACATTGTTTGCTTGATCGATCTCAATTAACAGGACGGGCTGAGAATTACATACTTCTGGATTAAGGAGCAACTGGAGAATTACATACTTCTGGATTAAGCCGCAACTCATAAATGCAAATCCAACATAGACTCAATGCATGTGGTACCAATCATCACAACTCGATGGACACTGGGCCATCAACCCTCCATAGATCCCCATCAATAGGATCGATTCTACTAGAGAACATGAGCACATCATAATACTTCACATCCGCACAGTGGAATTGAAGCCAAAGTAATCGAGATCCTGAACCGAAGTCCGGATGCACATGAATGCATGATGCACACACCACAATAATAATCCTCACAATACAGCATATGGTGCATCATATTCATCATATTCATCATATTCATCATATTCATCATATTCAACATATTCATCAAACGTCATAACTCATCAACATAGTCATCATCATCACATAAATCATCATATCTCATGCTATCACATAAATCGTCATAATCATCATCACATAAATCATCATATCTCATGTTATCACATGATTTGTCATATAATTCATCATAATAATTAATCTCACACATCATGCCATCATATAATTTATCATAATAATCATCATCACACATCATGGAAATCGTCATATAATCACGCACAAATAACATATTAACTCATAGTCATCCTCATATTAGCCCATCATATTATCACATATTATCATATATTAATTCATAATACTACCCCATATTATCTCATATTAATTCATCAACTTATACCTGCGGTAATCCTCACACTATAGCTTATCAATCACAATTCCTCACTGTCTTACTCATGTTAACTCATCTCAGAAATCTCAAAATCAAGCATCAAGGCATCGCTGCAAACGATCAAATTTCGCGAACTCTGCTACGTTCGCTGGCTTGCTCGCTAGGCGAGTCGGTAGCAAGTCTTCGCTGGCATGCTCGCTAGGCGAGTTTGTGGCGAGTCTTCACTGGCATGCTCGCTAGGCGAGTCTGTGGCGATGACAGCAAAACCTGTTACGCCCAGAACTGATCCTTGCCCAAATATTCATACTATTCACTAACCCAATGCCCCCAAAACATGCCTAAATCATCCCTAAGATCATACGGCGATAACAACACAAAATTTATGGTTTATTAGGCCAATCTGGCAACATTTGCACTGCCTAAATCACTATTTTCCTGCAATTGCTCTGAGTACATCAGAGTTACTCACATTTGAACATTCCTATTCCTACAAGGTCAAACATATCACAACCCAAGGTTTTGGCCACGAAGGCCTAAGGTTCTCTAATCCTCATATCAAATATTCAAATATTCAGTGATACATATCACAACCATAATCTCAGAGTCTTATAATCAATTTTCCTAATTTCTCAATTAATTCACGGTCGGATTTGCACTTACAGGTTTAGGCCACGAAGGCCAAAGGTCATTATTTCCCATCTCTACCCTTAGAATCCTTACGGTTACCACTTCCATAATAGATCTAGGCCACGAAGGCCATATATCACTTGTTCGCATAACCTTCTAATCTTATCACAGTCAAAATCTCAATGATAGATTTTGGCCACGAAGGCCAAAATCCCTTTTTCTCATAATTCTCCCTAAAACCCCCAAACCAACCATAAACACATCGAAAGACATACATAGAAAATCATGAAAAGCGATACTCCTCATACCTTAGTCGATACGTAGCTTTCACGATTAACTTTGAGATCTTCTGCCTCCAACCTTTCCTTCAGAGCTCTGGCCACCAAACTTTCCACGGTTAACAAATGAATCTAAACCTCTTTAGAATTTTATTCTGTCAAACTTAGACTTGGGCCACACAATTGGGTTTTTCCCATAATATCCTCACTAACTCCTCTAAATGCCCAATTTACCCTTATTCCTCTTATATTTATTTTAATTCATAATAATATTAATAAATCCATATTACATACTATTATTCCAAAATAAATACTCCAAAAAACATAATTCCTCAATAATTCACAAAGCCACCGAAAACACCAAAATACGAATATTCTCAATTAAAATATTCCGATTAAATTTGGGGTGTTACAACTAACATTTCTTATTCGCTCAACTAAAACACAATTATTTTAATTTAAATCATAATAATATAAAGGATAAAAATGGATTTTTGATAAAATAGTGAAGGTACAAATGGAAGAAAAAGTCATAAACTAAAAGCTATAAGCTCAAAAACTACAAATAGCTTTTGAAAAAAAAAGTAAAAGCTAGTAAAAAAGCTATAAGTTAAAAGCTAAAAGATAGTTACCAAACAGAGCTTTTTTATTAATATGAGCTGAAAAGCTATAAGCTCTTTTTTTGTGTTATCAAATAGACTCTTAGTCAAGTCAACCTGGATTCATAAATGAGCATACTTCCCTCTTTCCATTGATAGAGTATTCTTGTCGATTTTCACCGTTTTTTAATGTGATTACCTATGAACAATAGAACACGATTATCATAATAATCAATGGGCAAACTTGAAATTCGTACCTACACCTCCATCTGTTCTATAACATCAGTGTTAAGACAAAAATGTGCACTCCATTCCCTGATAGAGAGATAATGGTCGTAGATCAACTAATGTCCTTATTTGAGAGCTAGAATCTAATCTTCCTCATTGGTGAATGTGACTAGGTAGTAGTCTCTTCCCAAATAAACAATGTCCAAGACTCCTCTTTTAGCCCAAAGTTGGTTTAAACGGTAGTCTAAGGCTCTGATCGTACCTGATCAGAAAGGAATCAGTAGCCTACCACACGTCATGAGTTGTTGCCTTCACCAATGTTGTATAGGAGAAAATGGAGCGTACCTGCAAGATGCTCCGATGTTTAAATGAGTAATGAAACTAGAGAGAGAGCAAGTACAAAGAAAATGTATAGTGAATAAGATACCTTACCCTTTAGTGAAAGAGGGTATTTATAATGTGCCTCCGGCGCAGGGCCAATAGTTAAATTTCAATGGGTCGGATTGCCAAGCCCAACACAAGTAACTACCAGGGCTTACATGGAATAGCGAAGACCAACACGTGGTCTTCGCCCTGGATCAACTGCCCTGTGATCTTCAGAAGGTGGGTTGACCAACTCTTTCGGAAGTGCGTATTTGTCTGATGATGTGTCCCCGCGTGGGGGGCACGTGGAGTCCGCGGGGAAAGCGCGTGAGCTTTCCCCGTGTCAGATAATGCTTTGTCCGACTAGTGTGCCTTGTTGAGGCTTGTGCTCGACAGAGAGGATTGGGCCTTGTTGGGCCTCATCAGCATAGTAATGGGTTGGGTCTGCCCTTATGAGGGGTATGTCCTGACCCAGTTCAGAACAGTAGCCCCCTAAATCATTGCTCCTAGGTGGAAGATTAATGACTTAAGGGCTGGTCGAAATGTTGAGGACCTCTTTAGGAGAAGGTATTTGCCCTACGCATAGAATTGGGAGTCGTGTACCAGGTCGGAAGCATAGGATACTCGACAGAATAACATGTCGGGGAGGTGGACAGCGTGAAGGATGTGCCCGCTCTCAGAGCCCAAAAGGGAGACGAATGAATGTGAAGCTTATGGTGCTTCCATGTGTCATAAAATCATTGCTTAGCTAGGGTGGGTAGGGATAGGGGCATTTAAGTGCCTAAGGGTGCCTCGAGTCCCGTGCTAGGCTTATAAATAGGACCGAGTATGCTTCATTTCTCACTTTTCGCTTTTACCGTTCAAGACGCTTCCTCTTCTTCTCGTCGCGCTTCTCAACCTTCATCACTGAGACGTCTGCCGTTCGCCGCCGTATTGTCCTCCCAGAACCGTCGTACCAAGTAAGAGTCTACTGCCTTATCCTCGTTCTTCCTATTTTCCCACGGTTTCTCTGGTAGACTTGATGAATGCCCCAGGGAGACCGTGAAGTTTCCGGAGAATACGCCAGAACTTCTTTGAATTAGAGTAGATTTAGGATGAAGCTCTCAGGGACAACCGTTGAAGCCCCCCGGAGACGTAGGATAGTTTTGGATGAATCTCCCGGGGACAAGCGATGAAATCCCCGGGGACGTAGGATAGTTTTGCATGAACTTCCCAGGGACAAGTAATGATGTCCCCAAGGATGTAGGATAGTTTTGGATGAACCTCCCGGGGACAAGCGATGGAAGTCTCGGGGGTCCACTCTCGTCTGTCGAGGCGGGAGAGGCCCTGTCCCTGGGGTTCTCCCCTCATCGCCCTTTCACTTGATCTGCGGTGGAATGGTGGATTTGATCTAAAATGTTGAATTCACCAATTTCCTCTGCTTTTCAGGTGTAAATGGCTGCTTGGGTACAGGGGTTATTGAAACCGACGACGAGCCTGATTCCCTGATGGTGCAGGCCAGTGAAGAGCGAAGAAGGTATGTCGCGGATTGGACCGGGGATGAGCCCCTGAGTGTCTCTTCTCGCTTTATCGTGGATGAGTCCGACGCGTATACTAATGTCGAGGACCTCCGTGAGGGTTCCCCCGTGAACTGGAACGTGTACCAACCACGAGCAAACCATCAGATATACTCAGCTTATAAGGGGATGAGGTTCCCCATGTATGAGTTTACCTTCTAGGAAGTGGGATTGTGTATGCCCTTCACCAACTTCCAACTAGGAGTTTTTGACTGGCTTCGGCTGGCGCCCTCGCAACTACATCATAACGTGATCGCGTTCGTGCGGGCGAATGAGCTCGTCTATCGACATCTCAACGTCGGGGCCACTCTCACCCTTTTCTTCCGCATCTTCCATCTTCAAAGACAAACGCTCGATGGTCGGCACTGTCGCGGTGAAAATTGGATACCAAACTATTGATTAGTTTGAATCTTTAATTCATTTTTGCAACCGAACTTTGATTTGTCCAAAGGAAAGGATAAAGATCGAAATTCCCACAATGCAATGCAAATGCAAGGTTTAGAGAGTTTTAGGTTCGGGGGTCGGTTAAACTTAGGGAAGGTGCTAGCATCCTAAGTTTCTGTAGTACTCTACAGGAACCTCTTGTTTTATGTTGTTTACTGCTATGTGTTTATCTGCTTAAGGGTTGAAAGACCCTAGGGGTTTATTTCTAAGTATACTCGATAAGGCGTCGCACCTTAGGCCTACATA